TATTCTTAATTTAAAGAGAAATGGCTGGGTTATCAGGTTAGAAAAATATATTGAGATCACAACTGACAAAGAGAAGCACTACAGTACATTCTTTGTCTACTGTAAGTCTGTAGAATGGATGAAAGAAAAATATGTGTTGGTTTGTATCTCTGTTATAGGTGAGGACTGGGGTGTTTGGAAGTTGATAGGGAAAGATTTGTTTCCACATCTTTGAATTATTTTAAACAAAAAAGAACATACAGTACAAAAATATGTGACAACAGTTTTCTTAAGGGCCCTTTTTCTAAAATTGTAGCAAGATCACATGGAAATACAGAATAATAAGCAGCACTTGAGTTAACCAACTTCTTTCTAACAGAAATGTTCATACAAAACACTGCATGCATTAAATTGAAACAGATTGGGGTTAACTATCAACTTAATGATTGTATTTTACTAGTCTCTGGAAAAACCTTTAAAAGTTAATTCTGTTTCTGTAATGGAAAACAGATAAAAGGATACAAAAACAATTTCTTGTAAACCATAGGGCATATGTCCTCTGGTTATGACAAGGTGTGTTTCCATAGAAACTAATTTAATGTACAGGTAAAAATGTAGCAAAAAGGCTTTGTAATTATTCATTAGTTCAGTGTTTTGAAGACCTTGACAAAATAGAAATATTTATTTTTACCCGCCTCACTTCATAAAACATATGCGGCAAGTGGCTTTTAATGTGGTACACCACAGTAAATGCAGCACAAAAATGAGTCATACATAATGAAGCGTGGTAAAAGTAATAATGCAGTGCTTAGTACAAACATGAGGGCAGTGCAGAGCTATAATGCACATTTATCATAGTTAGCTTTTGGTATGTGTCATTCATTTTGCTGAGACATTCTGCTCATTAAAAACTGCCTCAGGGCAATATTCAAACTTTTCTTTGCTTAGGGCACAAATGTGTTCCCTATTTTCTGACATGTAATTTAACAACTTTAGCAAGATAATACAGTAATAAAGAGAAAGAAAATTGTTTGTTTTTTTTTCCAATGAGAATGCAGTTTTTTAATTTGTTCTGCACTTCACTATGATATTTTACACCACACCAAATGTTTTGAAAGTCACCTTGATAATGGAAATCAAGCAATTAATCTTGGTTTTATTTTTGTTATATTTAAAGCTGAAGTGCTCCATTATTTGACATTTCAAGCAGTTGTTTGGACTCCACCTTTCTTCCTGATATCTAATAAAAAGATGAGGTATACACAGATAAACTTATCTATAAATGAAACTAAATGTAGTCAGCTTTCACAATATTTTAATCTTTTCCAAACATAGACCCAAGGAAAAATCACTCTTGGAATATTGTGAAAAGTCAGACTAAAGAAAAAGGAGAACCGATATTAAATCATTTTTGTATTTATCTGTATTTTAAGTATTTTTCTGGAATTTCCACCTGCCTACAAGCTTTTTTGATCTCTCATGGGTAGGTGTTGGATTTTTAGAAATGTTGGCTCCTCAGAAATCTTTAAATGAAAGTATTTTACAGGAATATCTATATGGTTTATTCTACTTTATGTAGTTCAAAATGATGGGGATTTTAATTACAGAAACTCATTACGATAACCACAGTAATAAAGTCAGTCCTATGTTCAGAGTTCTGTTTGGGCTTTAAAATTTCTGACTGTATTACAGAGATAACAGAGTGGACTTCAATTTTTGCTTGCAATTAATATTCTATGAAAACAGCATTGATATAGGTAGAGTGATTTATACAGAATGAACAGTTTGACATCAAAATTTGTAAAGGAGCAGTGAGTTTACTGCAATCTTGAACTCTTTTACTGTTTAGTGTTTAAAACACATACCAGGATGTATGGATACATCTTGAGATGCAACTACATCGCAGGGCCCACACACAACCACATACTGTACACACCTGGGCCAGATTTCCCAGAAGCCAATTAAACTACCTGCAGGAAACCCATGCAAAACTCAGGGAGAACATACAAGCTCCACACAGAGGGCAAATTCAAACCTGGACCCCAGTGCTGCAAGGCAGCAATGCTAACCACTGCACCATTGTGCTGGTTGCTTCCAAAAACCAAAGTGTATTTTTTATCTCATTCATAATAAAGTTAATGTTAGTGTTGACAGTGGCAGGCCATCATTACCAATGTGTACCAGCACACATTGCAAGTAGAAATAAGTGGAATAAGAAAAAGAGAAAAGTCAATGAAGGGAAAATAATACTTAGCGTTATTGTAATAGTGTTATTGAACACAAAATAGAAGTAAGGATTTTAAAAACATTACAAAAAAATCTGTATTGTAGTTGATGATTTCATTCATTTTTTTGACTATCATTCTGTATTCACTGTGGCATTTCCACTTTGGAAACATAGGTGTGCAATGTTCTTATCATACATACAGTACTACTTTTATCATAATAAATACTCTTAGTCTCAGCATGAAAGCATTTTACCATTACTTTATTGTGGAAAAAAAGAAACAACGGAAAACATTTGGGAAAGCCTAAACTGGCACGCAATTATTTGCTTTATATTACAAAAGGAAAGGCTACAAATCTTGATAATTTATACAAATACAACAATTCTCAAAAAATAAAACTTTAAATTTAGTAAACTCTCCATGTGCTGCATAAGCACTGTCTTCAATAACCCACCATTTGAAATCCCTGAGCAGAGACATATATTGAAATGCTTAACATTTTTTAAAATTATTTCTCTAAAAGAAGAATTAGCAAGTTATCTAAGCAATGCCATGGGTGTCCCACAGCAGAAGCTAGGTTAAATATTTCACTCTGTGACAGACCCAGCTATCATTGCTACTATAACACAGTGTTGACACAGACTCAACCATTTACTACAGCCACATGTAACACGTGACCATTGCTTTGATCAAAACAGAAAATTACAGAACCACCAAGGACTCTTCTATTGATCTGGACAGATCAGTAATCATACAGCAATTTTCTGTTCTTGAACCTGTTTTTAATAACATAAACAAAACAGAATGAACACATAAAAGCTGCATTTTTTCCTGCACAATAATCAAAGCCAAACCAGCATTTAGCTATAACGGTCTAATAATAGAATACACTTGTGTCGATGTAAAAATGTAAAAAAATGTAAAAATTGAATATTTTGGTTTTGCCATGGAAGGACAGAGACCTGACTCTGACTTACAAGGAATATATCAAATAAAAAATGTTATACATCCACAGGTACATTGGTGATGTTTGGGTTAGGGCATCATTTTTTTTTATTTCAACTGAAGCCAACAGTACATATAAGTCTCTGTTACATGGTGGTCTGTAAAATCCATTAGTATCTAGTGAAGTACTTACTATCTTAATAAAACTACTATTTTAGTACTGTAGTCAAAGAAAAGGTTTACACACACATAAATGAAAGTTATGTTTTCCATCCACTATCAGGAAACTGTTCATTCTCAGGAATGGTTGGGGCTACACCCTCAGAATCACAGGGGACATTGAGGGCCCACACCCTGAACTTGATGCCAGCCCATTGCAGGGCACATGCACATGTGAACAATTTAGAGACATCCGTTAACCTAGACAGTATGTCTTTGGATGATATAAGCAAACTGGAGCACCAGGTAAAAACGTAGGCAAACATGGAGAGAACCACACGAAAGGTAACCGTGTCCCAAATCGGAACCCAGGTCCCCAGAAGCTATGAGACAGTAGCGCTAACTGCCATGCCACCTTGCCACAGTCATGTTTACATTTTCAGTTTGTGAAAAAAGAAATGTGTAACAGTGCCAGCTAGTCAGCTAACAACCACATGGGATGACAAGAAGTTCAAAAACCACAAATGACATTTAAAATAAGTTTTTAAAACAATCACTAAAACTGTCTCTTATAAATACTTAAACATCACTGTACCATTGCAGGTTTATGCACCTTTATAGACCTCTTATGTTTTGCTTTATTTAACTGACACTTGAAGATCAATACTTGCAGTTAGAACATATTGGCTGCTCCAATTGGCCAAATTATGACATCCAGACAATTACTTATAGTATATGTAATACATCTTATATTTTGAGACACACAATCAGAAACATTAAGTAAAAGGATGAAACAGTAAGTCTGAATAAAAAATGAGTTAAGAAGTCCACTTGTATGTTTGCCATTGGCAACTCTGCAGTTGTATTTTACTTGCAAGCTTCAACAATTTTCAGCATTGAAATAATGCAGCCTATTATATATTAAAGTTTATTTATACATCTGAATACAAGAAATAACAATAACAACAAAACAATATACATTTGAATAATCCCTTATATATATAAAATAATTCTATGGTTGTGCATCATTAGAGGAGTGCAACAGTTGTACAGCTATTTGGTTAGGAATTGTAATCACTCATGGCTTTAGACTCAACTCTCATCAAGTTTTAATCTATGATAATATTATATCCTAATGTGAATGGCTGACCTTTCAGCTCAATACACCTATTGGAATATATTTGCAGCTCTCATGGCAAATGATAGTGGGAGTCAATATCTTAGGTTATGTTTTCTACAATTCACTTTTAAATCATAGCACTTTCCTATAAAAAGGCAGTACACAAACTGAAGTGACTTCCTATATAAGTACATTTCTTGGTTCATCTTTTATAAGACTGAATTGTGTAAAATTGTCATCAAGCTCTTTGCCAAGCTGAACAGATGTCATGCCCTGCTGTTCACACATGAAAATAAATATAAGTGGAGCTTTGGATGTTTCTTTCTCCTCACTAAGTAATTAAAAACTGACTAGTTTGTTTTAGCAAACATTTTTAGTGGGCATCTTTGAAAAGGGCTAAATTTCCGTTTACCAAAAGAGACGTTTTTGCCAAGAAGCCCATTAAATAGGACAGATTTCCAACCAATCCAAAGATGTTATTTACACAGTCTGTGTAAAATACAGCAAAATCAGTTGTTCACAGTATGTTAAAGGCGCATCAATGTTAAATAAATAAACGTTAACACAAAGCATTCCATTTCATTTTTTGTATTATTATTTTTCAATGTTGTTTGTTTGCTAAATAATTACAAAAATAAAAATGCTTGACATCTGGAGATAATCATTTTGTTTGCTCAAGTCAGTTTGTGGAATATATTTATTACAGTTATAATTACTATTTTCTGACAATTACTAGCAAATTCTATTACATGTAGTGAGACAGAGGGTTATTTTGGTGGACGTTGTATTTTGGTAAAACGTCTTTTTAAGACATTGAAAATCACGTCTTGAAAAGACATCAGAAGCTGAAGCATTTTGAACTCTTAATATGTCACAGATTTTATTTTTTTTTAATTATTAATAATGCTGTCTGGAATACGATAAAAAAAGGAACACTTCAGGATTTTGTAAATCTGATGAGTGATTGGTGTTAATACTTAAAATATTTATGATACAATGGTCAGTAGCCCTTTAAATTTAAATTTTATTTAACTTTTGTTCATTTATTTGTGACATTTCATCCACAATGATACTTTGCCAGAATTTGCTGTTACAAATTTAACAAAAATCAAACTATTGAGTTTAATAGCATTAACCCTGATGGTTCTTTGCAGAGAAACAAATTTTCTATGTTGAAGGCATTCAAATTAACAGCCATTTATTTAAAAATAATCAGATACTCATTTAGACTGTTATTATTTATTATAATTAGGGCTTCTGGTACATTACAAAAATCTGTGTTTATCCAATAAGCAAAGGAAATTTGCATTGCTGTCAACACTTTCCCAGTGTATTTTGAAAGGCAACTGATCACTTCCCTTGTTACTTGCATAAACAGCATAAATGAGTGATATGTTCTAATTCCAACAACATTGTACAGCACAAGCTTGCTTGCTTTAAACCATTACATTTAGAACTGAAATCCATTATCTGTGGAATACATGATAATGTGAAGGAACAGAAAATTGTTTAATGGCAAGTGTATTCTTAGAATTATTTTGGTATTAAATATATTTCAATTAAATATTCAATTAACTAGACAATGAGGTAAAACGCTCTAAAGAATGGAATCATTCCTTCTAAACTTTAAGACATACAATCATTAGAAAATACTGTGGGATGTGTAAATCTTTAGAAAATTATCTAAAAAAAATCAGTATTCTATAGCATTGTCAAATCTCAATTCAAAAGTATTATCAAAACCCTTGAAAGAGCAGATTTCCAATAACATAAAATGTTTTAGTAACAGAAGCCCCAATTAATATAAGACTATAATAGCAATTTAAATTATTTTTAATGAAAGGGGTGCTACAGATGAATGTGCCTCATTAAAAAAAATGCTGAACAGCACTGGAAGTGGATCTTAACATTTTTTTATTATTTTATTTAGTTTTTATTAAAGCTTTGGAATTTTCAATTTCAAACTTTGTTCAACTTTATTTTTTGTCCATTAGTTACCATTAAATAAAGGTGCTTTAAAAAGCGAATGCAGCAATCTCCAATAGGGTTTTAGCAGAAATCTAATGGGCTTGGTATTTGGTGGCATACAGTTCAACTAGTTCTCAAGGTTACCTTACAAAAGACAGGATGTTTTGACCACTGGCTATGTTTCTTTGAAAACAGCACCAGGCCAACAAGTACTTAGTTGTATTTATGAAACTATAGCTTTTCAGATTAGCTAGAATTCTAGGAAATTACAAACAGACCTAAATTTCACCATTGCACTCCTGGGTTTTAATTTGAGCTCATTGTTTTACCAACTTACATGGCCTCAGGACAAATAATGCCTCAAGAGAGCTAAGCATCAATTACTAATTAATATCAACTTCACCACAAGACTTCAAGTATGCAGCTATGTCCCCCTTCAAGTTAAGTGCTGAGGTTAAACTCAGAGAGGGCTTCTTGCTAGTTTTTGACAGTTCTAAAAACCTTTTTAAGGCCCCCCACAGTTATAGCATGTCTTGAAGACACTCATTTTGAGCAACATTTTGACACCTTGTATGGTTCAAATACCAGATTTAATTCACTGATGTAGATGACAGTTTTATTTGTGCATGTGTTTCATTCTTCACTAGTTTCCCTGTGGTTCATGTTCAGGTACAAATATCATGTGCCCAAAGTTTTCAGGCCTTGTTTCTCCATTATATTCCACAGTTTCCGAAGGTTGGACTGTGTAATGATGTCATCGGGTTTGAGTTGAAGAGCCCGGAGGTAATTGGCTTCTGCCTCCTGTAGCTTTCCATTGAGATGGAGTATCGCCCCAAGGTTCATCAAGGCAGCTGGGTACTACAAGAAAACAGTTATAGAATTAGCAACAAATATTAACACTAAAGTCAGAAGCAAAGCAATTCATCAGTTAGCCAGAATTGTTCATTAACAATTCATTGTTAGGCCATTTAACAACAAAGAAAAACATTTTCTTTGGATTTCAAAAATGGCAGTTGTCATATTAACTATTGATATATATGTATAAATATTTTTTTAGAGAAGCCTCTCCTCAAAAGGGAATTTATAAAGAGTGCCACTCCATTTTTTAAAGCAAGCTGTAAATATTTAAAAATACAATGCTAGTAAGAGAAAACATTGGTTGAAATATTCTTATTGTACATAAATAATTAATGGTAAAGCAGAAATATTTCTAGAGAAAGCTAAAAACTAGAACTATTCTACAACAGTTAATAAGAAAAGAGAAAAAATATTTATGTTTGAATATTTTTTCTCCACAGGACCTATCAGACAATATAATAATGATTGTTCAGATAGTGAAACATATCTAGAGATATATAACACAAATGTCTTAATTATTTTTTTTAAATGTTGATTATGTTCTTTTTATATTTTAGGCAACTGCAAATATCTCACTATGCACGCTTATTTTCACATAGAAAATGTTGTTAGTGAGATTATTCATGCAGACTCAATTTAAAATATAAATGAATTAAAAAAACATTTTATTTTAATTCTTAAAGCATTAAGAATAGGCCCCCTTTTGCATCAAAACAGTTTTCCAAAAATAAGAAAAAAATGTTTAAAATATTAAAGTTAAACACTTTACAGAAAAGAAAACGTGTTAAAAGAATTTAATGAACAAGATCCATGGATATAACCTTGAAGAAAATGTTTTTTTTTCTGTCTCAAATTCAGTTTAAAAGAAAGTTAAGTTGATTTTGATTCTACAGAAACGGGACTCTACCTTTCCAGTACCATCGAATTCAACAGAAAGTAATGGAAAAAAAACCAATAAATCTTAGCCCTGACCATGGAAGCATACCAATCAGTCAAGCTGTTACTTGTAATATCACTTTCAGGGTTGGATGATCAGGTAGCAGTTACTGCCAACTTTAAAGGTACAGTGGTTCCAGTTGCTACACTTACATTTTAAAATATGAGATACAGTGACCTCCAGAATTATTGACAACCTTGGTAAAGATGGAGCAAAACAGGCTCTGAAAAACAGTCTTTGTTGTTTATCAGCTTGATTTTACACTGAAAATACGAGATAAATCAGTGAGGTAAAAATATTCAAAGAAAGAAAATCCTTATAAAAAAATCAAAATCTTTCTAAAAAACACGTCACAATTATTGGCACTCCTAGAAACTCTTATCAACAAAATCTATTTGACATATATTTTCATTCATATTTTATCTTTTTTAAGCACACCTGAGTCTTTAAGGAACTCTTAAGTGGTCATCCATGACTACCTGTTTCACTGAGGTATAAATATGTGTCACACTATGTTATGAAGAGGTGTTACTAAGCCAATACAACACCACTCCCATACCACTGATGTTCATCTTGCCTGTTTTTGCCAGGATATATTTTTAGATCTCTTAGGGGATTTGAAACTTGATTAACTGACTAATATGATTAAAATAACATCTACCTTCAAAGAAATTAATAGCAATGCATAATGTCATTTCACTTTAATTTGGTGCATTAATATTTTAGCATTTAAAAAAGGTCAAATATAGAATTAAGGATTCTGGGAATGAATGAATCTGAAATAGATTTTTATGAGAGTGTCCAGAAAATGGGAAAACTAATTTTCAGAAGACAATTGGGGTCAGTAATTACTGTGTAACAGAATCATTATTTTATAAAAAAAAGACCTACGGTACCAATCAAATACCAAACCTGAGTTTAATTAAGCTCTTTAGCAGTCTGACATCTTGCAGTTGTTCATTTCCTGCCTGAGGAATGATGGGGTCCTATACAGCATTTTTGGCATAACTAAAACTACATTAAACAAGATGAACAAATCTGTGGTCTGTGGTGCTTTTAAGAATGTTACAGGGTGGCAGTAATAATCTCTAGCAACTGCTAGACCTTTTACATCGACTGGGACAATAATGCAGAGCAAAGTGTGATCTAATGCTTAAAAAGGAGAGTAACAGAGTAACTCAAGATTGGCATAGAAGACAGTTATGCCACAGGTCATATAATTAAAATAAACCTCTGTGGGCTACAAAAACCTTGACAAATGTGACCTTTTGCTTTCAGAGTTGCAATGTTAACAAAGATTCTGTTTTACCATACACTTAGTTAATACTGATCAAAAAGAGAAAGATTAAATCTCAAGAATATGCTCAAGAATTTATTTAAAATACATAGTGTTTATTTGTAAAGTTACTGCATCAAATCTGTAACACTGCAAAGCAAATAGAAATTGCAATTTTTGGCTAATGTGTCAACGTGCATTTTAGAGCCTCTCTCCCCCTTTGTAACAGCAGATGTCAAAAGGATCTTTGAAGTTGAAGATGTGTCCTGATGTTGTTTTCCTGCTGATGCCACTGGGGAAAATTACGATACATCCTAGAAAACAGCCAACATTCAACCTGTCTTCCATACAAAATAGAAGCAATGCTATACTACATTTCTGGTATAAGCAAAGTCAATTTAAAGACCGACAAATTAAAACACTACAGGATTTAGACGACTTGATAAATGTATGGTGAATACTGCAGTACTGTCTACTCAATCATACACATACAGAAGGAGCCCCCCCCCCCCCGCATATAATACTGCCATCCATGTGATGTGTTTCAACCTTGCACGGTTCTCCTTTTGTGCATTAGAGTGAAAAGTCGAGCACTTTTCCTATTCTCAGTTTACTATGTTCATGCCTTCTTACAATGCACTTACAGATGCAGCCATTCAAGTTGCGCGGTACACACACGTATCGGAGATAATTGGCTACGGCGTCGCGCATTGTGACGCACGATGACGCG